AGCCATGCGCATAGGTAAGCAGATACATATGCATCTACCCGTACGTATGTATCTATGCGCTTATGTATACACTTGCGTGTGCGCCGCGGGGACTCACCTTTCGACGTAGCTGCCTTTCTTATGTGAAAACTGCCACGGGGGCTATTCGCCGGTTAAATAGGAATGGGCGGGGGAGGGAAAAAATTGGGCAATTTTTGCTTAATCGTTAGGAAAAAAAAAGGAAAATTAAAAACTTGCGGATGCAGTTGTAAATATATAGTAAGGATGAAGTTGTAATTGAAGATAAAGTTGCGGCTAAAGAAAAAATTGCATTTAAACATAAAGATGCAGTTATGGATAGAGTTAAAAGTTCTTCTTAAAGATGAATTCCTAATTAACATTAAAAATGGCTTGATACTTCAATTTAATGTTAACGCTACGGGCGATATTAAAAGAGGTGACTTGCTAAACTGTTATATTTCTTCTTCATTTTGCGGTTTAACATTTGCTAGCTCAAATACAGCAAAAATTGTTCCAATTTTTAAGCGTTACATGTATACACAAAACGGGAAAAAAAAATTGAGAGAAAAAAAAAAAAAAAAAAATCAGTTCTCATGAAGAAATTTGCCTTTTCGCGTTTTATGTACCCAACGGTGGGGGGGATGCCAAGTGTGGAAGTATACACGTGAACAGGTAGAAGTGCGCATATGTATATATATAAATATATAGGCATGTGTTTATATATACTTGTGGGCATATTTTGTGGTTACAAATGTATTCTTGCTGCTGCGCGAATGTCCATGCATATGTGGGTATGCGTTTCTCTTAAGCGCATGCAATAGGTGAAATGTGCCCCCTGTCGGAAGGCCATATAGGGTAGGGCGTTACATGAATGTTTTTTTTTTTTTTTTGTTTTTTTTTCTTCACAAAATGGGACAAAAGGAGAGCAGCATAGTTTATTTCCGAACTCAGGACTTACATAATCTCGTTATTTTCGAATTTTATAAAAATAAATTCTCCACAGGGAGATTCCTGTGCCTATTTCTCCTTTCCTCTATCCCCTGTTGCATGTGCAGAAAATGAAGTGGACCATTTGAATAATTATTTTATTTTTTAGTGGAATAAAATTTGAATAAAATCTGACCTTTAAGGTGTCATTTTAATAAACGTTGCTACTGTATCTTTTTATGACGGCAAGGAAAATTGAAAAGAAAAATGAGCATTAGGGTTAAAACGCGCATTGCAACAAATCCTACTTACAACAGAAGGTTCAACATGCATATATGTTGCGTTGTGGAAAAAAAAAAAAGAACTAATTGAAGCAGCATAAAGCGAGTGATATGTAAAAATTGGATGGTTGTTCCGTTTCTGCGCGGATTGTACATGGGTAGATATATATATCTACAAACACACACACCGAATCTGCGTTTAATTAAGTGCCCTGCGCGCACGCAAATCTATTTATGCGTATGTAAACGACACCGAGGGGGGAAAAGGCTTCCCATTTGGCCCATAAACACAGGAAGATACAAGAATGCATAATCCATTTGAGTGGAGAATCCATTTGTCGAATGCATAGTGGAAAAGTACAAACGTGGAGAGGCTTAAATGATCCCGCGGTTCGCATAAAAAAGATATGCCCCCCGTCCCACCGTGCACACCCCTCTACCGATCGGCACACCGCATGTTTTAAAAGAATTTCTTCCCCGCGTGCACAAATGAAGCAAACTTTCTAAATGGAATGTTTTAACAAAATTGTTACTAAGAAAGGGAGGGGAAAGAAAAAACAAAATGGAATCGCACGACGAGAAAAATAGGACCATGCAGATATACACTTCTTCAAGCATCTCTTGGTGGGCTAATCCCGCTTCACACAGCCACGGTAATATTCCTTATAGGCGAGGTTTTCTCTTTTTACGCCTCAACTTTTTGCGTGGCTGGGTAACGGTGTGCAGAAGGCTACCACCAAAGCACACGTTTGATAAATTATCGAGAAGCATCCTTTCCTGCTTGGTCATTTCATCTTCGTTAATTGTAAAGTTTAAATAATTTAATTTTTTGACCTTTCCCAAGGAAGCGATAGTGGGCAGTTCGTACTTGTATTTACAATTCTCTCCGTTTATTTTCTTTTTATTCCTTTTTATGTAGGACCTATTGCCACGTGGTTGTGCAGCATCGCAGCCGTGACACATGTCGAAATATATTGGGTTGTCGTAAGCCTCATTTAACAGTGTTTTTTTTTTCCTAAGTAGGATACTTTTTTTAAAGACGCACTTATTTTTTGGAGAAGAATTTTTCGATTTTACTGGCTTTTTTCCTTTTCCTTTTTTATTGAACGTGGTAGAATTCTCACGTCCAGTGTCACCACTTTCGTCATTTAGTGAAACATCCGCGCTGTTGAATTCGGGAGGGACATTAACTCCTACACCTTCAGCATGGGAATTATGCACATTTCGAGGTTTTTCGGGGTACCGTTTTTTTAATATTCCATCGGGGAAAAGCCTTCTCACGGGTGCCTCCACAGCGTCGCTTGTTATAGCGGTGAGTTTTGGGGGACCCTTGTTCTGCTCCCCTGATTGTTTTCGAGGTTGCTCTCTCGATTTTTCGCTCCTTGGTTGCAGTCGTTCTGGTTTGTACCCCCGCTGTTCTTGCTGCTCCTTCAGGGGCTTCTCTGCCTGTTCATCTTTTCGCTCCTGCTCAGTTTCGCCGACTTCGCCCACCTTGTCTATCTCCGGGCTATCATCCTCTTCCCAGTCCAAGTCACCCTCCCCGTGATTAACCTTTTCTCGATCCCTTCCTATTCTATGAGTACTATTTTTCTCCCTTACTGCGCGCAAGTATCCCCTCTCTGTTGAAAACTCCCCATAACCAGCATCGTCACGGACTGGCAAGCTTTTCTTCTTAGTATATTTAAAAACCCCGTTAAAGTATATTTCTCCCCTTCTGATAGATTTGCTCATTTTTGTAAAAAAAGGAAAAAAAATTCAAACATTTACTTTTAAATCTGTTAAAAAAATTAACGATAGGGTAGAAAACATATGCATCAATTTTAACACTAAAAGGAAGAAAAAAAAAAATGTATATTTTTTCCTCTTTTGAGGTAAAGACGAATGTATATGATAATTTCGTACATATAAAAGGAATGACAACATTACTTGACGTTAAAAATGCAGAAAAAATTTCTTAGAACAAAACAATGAATAAAACTGAGTTAGAAAAATGCATATTTTTACTTAAATTGTAGAATGGTGCAGTACACCTTTTCATTTTTTTTCCTTCATCCAATTATTAAAATATGGACAAAAGGAAAAACTTATGGGTTGATTAACACACCATATCATAAACTTCGAGGTATAAATTTTCTTATTCTGATATAACACTGTTTGGAGCAGTCTACAAATGCGATCAAACAGAATAACGCCCCTGCGCTTTGACGTAGTAATGAGTTCCGCCGCTGGGTCCTCACAATTTAGTTAATTCTTCTTAACCACGCCGTTGACCAGATAGGAGATCACACACCTTTTTAATGATGAAAGGGGGTTAAAAGAAAAGAAAAAAAAACTACGAAATGCATATGTTAAATTTTAGGACAAAGTCAAAATATCAACAGTATAGTAGCCAGTACTACAGCATTCCAGGAAGAAGAAAATGGTGCACCTATTCTTCCCCCAATTTCTGTCACAGGAAGAGTTAAATCCCCTTTGGCATATGCACGGATTTTGTGGCACCCTTACACAAGGAAATGTTAAAAATTTCCCTTCATAGAAAGGCTCAATTGAATGTCCACATGCAGTCCTTTTAAACATGAAATAGGAATGATAAATTTACTTGTGCAATTCTGCTATGGCATACTTCGCATGATAAAAAAAAAATAAATAAACGTCCTAGAATCTTTCTCAAATGGTCTATATCAACGTGAGGAATTAGAAATTAAAAAACATTTCAATAAGATGAGGAAAATAAAAATTGCAAAAAGAACAAAAATCACCAACGTGGTGCGTACATATTTTAAAAGTACACGTAAATCGAAAATGAAATTTAAAGAAATAGCATAAAAATGTATACCTTTTGATGAATGCGCGGTGTCACCTTTTTTACAACTATTTTGTTCGCGCAAAATGCATATGTTCAACTTAAACAAGTTCTATCACATGAGGATGTCGTCCAGGAAGCGATTCCTTTTCTTCCAAGAATAATTCTTACAACATAGGATGTAACAAACAGAAGGGATGAACATAAGGGGAAAAGAATCGTTTAAGTATATAGAAACGTGTAGTGTAGACGTCATCACAAAACGTACTTATGCATGGCAGAGCCTTTTGAAGCTCACGCTTGTGTCACATGCATGTTCGCGCACGTATTCACATGAGCCCATGCACGCGTTCCCACAAAAGCTCATGCACATTGTGCCACTTCTGCAAACAAAAAAAAAAAAAAAAAAAAAAAAAAAAAAAAAAAAAAAAAAAAAAAAAAAAAAAAAAAAAAAAAAAAGCAAAACAGAAAAGGCGGATAAAACCAGCAAAAAGAATGTGTTGCTTTGTAGCATTAGCCGTCAAACGAGTGGAACACATTTTTTTCCTTCTTTTGAGGTTGTCTCAAACGATCGCTAAAAGAATTATAGCATGTACACACTTCTGATTAACTCTTAAAATGACGTTTCTACAAAAAGCCAAAAGTAATAGGAATAATTTTTTTCATTTAAAAAAAAAAAAAAAACAGCCATTGAGTACCACTTTTAAGTATTAACTAGGAGTGTAAAAATATACACACGTCAGGAAAAAAAAAATAAAAACAGCCACTTGTCCTTTTTACTTGTACGGTTCATGTGAAAAAGAAAAAAAAATCTTGCGAACTTTTCGATAATCAATAACTTGCATTTTCACTCAAAAAAAAAAAAAAAAAAAGACAAAAACAATTAGC